TCTATTGATTTTCTTTTTCTCCTCTCTCCTCCCCACTTACCCCCCGGCCTCGCCGCCTCATTTTTTTTTTTTTTTTTACTCCATGTCTTTCTCTTTTGTCGACAACGTCCTTGCATATAGAGTGTCTCTGTCCCTTTACTGTCCGTCTGTCTCTGTTCTCTCTGTCTTTCTGTGTTCATCAGTGTTGCCTTGTTGTTTTTGTGTTTGGTGGTTAAAGATCGGCGGCACGGTGGTACAGTGGTTAGCACTGTCGCCTCACAGCAAGATGGTTCCTGGTTCGATCCCAGGATCCCACAGGGGGAGCCCTTCTTTGTGGAGTCTGCATGTTCTCCCTGTGTCAGCGTGGGTTTCCTCCAGGTGCTCCGACATGTTCTCCCTGTGTCAGCGTGGGTTTCCTCCAGGTGCTCCAGCTTCCTCCCACAGTCCAAAGACATGCAGGTTAATTGGTGACTCTAAATTGTCTGTAGGTGTGAATGNGCGTGGGTTTCCTCCAGGTGCTCCAGCTTCCTCCCACAGTCCAAAGACATGCAGGTTAATTGGTGACTCTAAATTGTCTGTAGGTGTGAATGGTTTTCTGTCTCTATCCCCCCAAGAGGATAAGTGGTTACAGAAAATGAATGAACTTGAGATCCATATGTTCAGGAGCTTTTTACCAGGAGCTGAATTATCCTCTCCAAAACAAACAGACCAGGGGTCTCATTAATAAAGCAATATGTAGAATCCAAAATAAAAATGTACGTGTGGACAAAAGCCAAAATAGGCATGCACCAAAAAATATTACATACTCTGAGTATTACAATATTATATAACAGTTTCTACAGTTTTCCACCTCACCATCTGCATCACCAATTTCCTGTCTCCACAATGATCGTAAGCATGAGTCAAAGTTTCCTCCATCAAGTCTGTTTTTATTGATCACACTTTTTGTGTGGGAAGTGGCATATGCTTCTTTAAGGCCTCATTTTGTGTGTGTGCAACAGGGCTGCCCCCCAACAGTCGACCAGAAAGGTCGTTAGTCTGCAAGATTTCATTGGTTGCTTAGTTGCAGGGAAAAAAAACACACACACAAAACAAGCAAACATGAAACTCCATCAGGAGCTGCGCCTTGACAAAATAAATCCAAACCTATATGACTGGACCATGTGTGACTTTACTTTGAAAGGACAGACACAGGAAGTGTCCACGCTCAGCAGTCAGACAGGAGTCAGGTTAATCTCCAGGGCTGGTACCTGCGGTTATTCCACAGGCTAGTTAATAACATGTCGGGCAGGAAATCCAAAGTGTGGGATCATTTTGAGAAGGTGAAGGACGAACCCAAGGTGATATGTAAACTCATCTTCATTGGTCGACTACAAACATGACGTATCATCTGAAACATGGAAGTAGCTACATGCCCATTAGCC